AATAAAACACCGAAACCCGGCAAATAAATAGGCGATCGAATTTTTAGAGGGGTCGAAATTTTGGAGTTTTCACGGTACTAATTATTCCATTTCAATGAAACTTTGCTCTAGGACAATGTACAAACCTAATTAGTTTGGGGTAAAAATCTGTTCATATTAATTCCCTAATAAGCATAATAATTCATAATTTTTTGGTTCTAATCACATTTCAATTAAACTTGGAGACATAGATTTTCTGTTACATTGTGCAGACCTCATTAGTTTTACACTCAAATCTGGTCATATTAATTTTCTGATTTGCATAATTAGTTTTCAGCTAAGTAATTTCGAATTATATTTAATGTGTCTCCAATACTCTCAGCACATGGGAGTTCTTTCTAAGCTTTCTTTGATTTATTATTGCGACAGCTATTTATAAAGTTTGAATTTTTTGATGTAATTACCCAATAAACAAATTATTCACCTGTACAATGAATTGATTAATTTTAGGTTTGAATCGCCATCATTACTCTCTCTACATCCACAATTGCCGTCTGGTCTTCCTTCTTCGCCGAGACTTTGGCAACCTGGAAACATTCAGACCAGCAGAATTCAGATGGAAACTCGATAAAGTATGCGACAAAGAGTGGCATCATTATGTTTTGAATGTGGACTTCCCAAAGGTGACTCTATACGTTGATGGTGATTCTTTTGAACCACATCATGTAACAGAAGACTGGCCTTTGCATAAGAGTAACTTTGCAACTCAGTTGACAGTAGGCGCCGCATGGGAAGGTAAGGAAACGATATTCAGTGTTTAAAATTGCTGCACGTCTGAGACAGATGCATTTCTAGTCGGGCTGGTAAAAATTAACCCGTGCATGACCGGTGGTCTGGTAACATTTTTTTCATGGCCTGCTTTAATAAATAAAAAATTTGAAAATGCAATTTTACTAAAATATTATCTGATGCAGAGATTGTGAAAAAAAAAAATTTAAAATGGTAAATTTAAAATTGTTCCTGTGATGACAGAATGTAGATTTTTTTTAGTGGTGCTTACTTGGAATACAACAAAAGTATTTGAAATGATCTCTAATGCAAAGCTGGTAAAATTCGAAAGTTCTCTGGTACACAATTTTGCGAAATTGTCAAACTGTGATATAACAGTGAATATACTAGTATGTAATCACACTCATCTTGAGTTTATTTTGATAGTGTTGGATGTCCTGTTTCAGGTGCAGATGGCGAGTTTGTACACCACTTGAAAGGATACCTGGCCGGTCTTACCATGCGCCCAGGTAGTACTGAAAGTGAACATGTCATCACCTGTCTGAATGGATGCAAAGAGAGTTTGGAATTCCATGATTTTGATCTGTTAGAATTGGGAGAAGAAGCAACGTTTGATTCAACTCAGTCAGAATTGACTCTCAAGGTAAAGTCTATGTTGTTCATTTCTTAAAGTTGAATCTAAAGATTGGTGAAGACTACCTTGTATCTTCTCATTTCTATAAATCGTAAATTATTTGATTAGCATTAATTAATTTTGTTGAATTCCCATAATTTCAGTATAAACCTTTATAGTAAATAAAATATTTTCACTTAATTTTATTTTCGCCGATTTACTACTGTAGGAATTGTATTGGGACAGTTTGATGTAACTGTTAATTGTCTATCTGTGTGGATGATTGCTGTTGAAGCACGATTGAAATGGAAATGTAATAAACATTTACATCCCTAAAAGTTATGAATCCCTGACAGTAAGAGGAACTTGAATGTGTCCAGACAAACTATTTCATCGATTATTTACCAACGAGTTGTGGTTTGAGTTGGGGGCAATGTGACTGAAACAGTAATTGAAATTCAGCACACTATTTTTTAAAACGCGTTGCTTGAATAAAACTGACCAGACACATTCACATTACCAGACTATTGAACAACTAGGAAAAGTGAAAAAAATACTTCTTATCGCCAGCATAAATGCGTAATTATTTTTTTTACAGAAAAAGTAATTTTTCACCTTTGATTGAGTAACGCGTCGTAGAATGCAGATACGGGCATGCAAAATACACCTGTGAAAAGCTTGAAGTCTGGCGATTCTAAAAATATATACTTTTCCTGGGTCTATTTGTAGTCATTTAGTCACAATTAGAAGATGAAAACAAGTATGCAAATAATAGTCCTGCTACCTTAATGTCACCATAACACATTGATCCACATCAATTAACTGACAGATTGATTTTGGTAATGACCTTGTAGCTTTATAACAAAACCTGTTAATCTACTTAGCCTTAGGTATTTGGAAAACAACTGCATTTGATTGGAGTTGGAAACTAAAAGTTAAAATCTCATTATATTGTTAGTCAGGACAACGGATAACTAAATTTGATAAGCTGTCTTGTAATTACTTCCACATGCTGTCTTTGGTTTTGTTGATTCAATGAATTAGAATGATTTGTACTGACTATTTCCAAGCAAATGGGAGCATGTCAATCTTGTTTAAGTAGGTTCAGACAATTCAACAATGTTTGAGCAAGCTTTTTAGTTGTACAAAATAGACAAATTATCCTGGTCAACCGGATATGTCGACAAACAAAAATCAGAATGTCAGTTTGCATGGTTTCTATGGAGCAAGTCTTTCAGCATATCTAAGAATACAGTGACTTGGTCTAAAAAAGTCATATTAAGGTAGAGACCTGACAGGTATTTTAATTAGTTAATTAAGAAACCACAAAACAAAACTATATATTTTCGGAAAGCTTATTGTATGAATTTTAAAATTTTTCTAGTAATTTTTTATGGACACTAGTTTGAAATATGTACAAAAATGTGCTTTTTTGGTCAAAAGTGATTTAAAAAAAATTAGCTCCTAAACCATGCTTGTGTTTCCTGTCAAAATTGGTTTGTTGGGTACATCTGTTTACTATGAAGAAAGCGCCGTTTTGAAAACTGTCTACCAGTTGTCAATTTTGCTATTTCAAGTTTATGCATAAATTAACACCCAGGCTAGTTGTCTGTACGATTGTTGTAACACTGTTCAACCAAAAACAATGCCCAGACAGCGTTTTGAAGATAAACACCATTGTCAATCATTTGTGAAAATTTCAAAACAAAAGGTCAAAGCATCTAGGAGCTATTTTTTTTAAAGTTCTGGGATGTGCACTAAAAAGAAGCTGAGATAATTGTTAATTTGCATAACCATTCACTCAGTAAGAAGTTTGCCAATGCTCATAATTAAAATGGCTGTAACAGTTCCAAATTTAAATGTATTATCGTTTTGTTAAAAGTTAAATATAGTGCATAATATGGAGATCCCGTCATTTCTTTTTTTCACCATGTTTCTTTTCTATTATTTATGTGCAGCCTTGCTAAGCATTCAAAAGAGATAATGTTTGCACCTGTTATCTATATTTTAAAATTGTTTTTTGAGTATGTTCCACTGTTCATAATTCTACAAAATTTCAACTTTCAATAGCCAAGACTGTTTGGATAATAAAAAGTAATAAAAATAATATTCACTCCCAAGTGCTCACAAACCTGCATCTTACCTTAATCGATATGTAACCTAATATGCAGAACATTATCTTAAAAAAATTTACATTTAATTTTGTGGTTGCCAGGGAGATGATATTTAGTCTATTATTTTCAGTGGGAATTATGTTGCATTATATGCTTGGCCACATGTTGAGGAGATGACAAAATTCAAATTTTTTTCGTACATATAATGAATTTGATTCAAATTTGCATCTCTAAGCAACACCGACTACTTCATAAATATTCAGAACACAAGTCTGTGCTTCATGATTATTCATGTTTTATGCTTAAGCTTTATTTTTGCGAATTTGTGTTTATTTTTATTTTTACTTAGTTGTATGATTTGAGAAAACAGTTGTATGGCCTATATGATTTTAAGCTCAGTGTTAATGATATTGGCTCAGTTGATATACTTATGATCTGCTGAATAGGTATTTTTGGCTGCTTGCTGACTAAGTTTTGTATTGTCTTGGTTTATTTTAGGGTCAGCTGATTGGTGATAATTTCCAAAGACTGATGCAACACATCTCGTATGTGAATTCCCGACAGTTTCCAACACCAGGAAAGAGAGCCATTACTTTAAAAACAAAGGCTATGTAAGTACAACATCAGTGCTCTTAGTATGAGATGTTTTGGGCGTATACTGTACAACTACATTACAACCTGAGTAATGAAATGAGAGGAATTTTAAATTTTATACAATGTAGAATTGTACTCTTAAACTTATTTTTAATTGTAAATTGTAATCCTTAAAATGTGATCACCTCCTCAAATCAAGTTTTGGCATTCCAAACCAGTCTGAATTCTCAAATCTGTGAATGCGTTAAAGTAACCAAGCTTTGAGAAGTATTTGCATCTATCCTGAATTTCAAATAACATGGATGACTAAACACTCTCATTTGTTCTATTACACTTGTTAATATCTATGTTCTACTTCAAGTACTGCAAGTGGACATGCTTTCAAAACCGGTTACAAAGAAGTTGCTTGTAAAACCAATACCTGTTGAGCCGTACATAGCATTGGTGGTCCCCACTTTACAAAGTTTACATACCATGCCACTGAAATAACATATTACTGAAATCGTAATCAGACAGGTGCAACCAACAAACCTGATTTAAAACCTTTTTGACAATTGTATTCCTCCTTGATAGTTGTGACGGTGTGGAGATTCCGATATCAAACATTGATGCATACGTCATGGTGTTACAGCCACCGGAACCTACCATAACTGTAACTTGTTCTGAACATCACGCGCATAAAGAGAGTGATTTTCTAGAGGGTATCAAATTATTTGGTGACGTACACATCGTTAGCACTATAGAAGATGAAGAGGATGAAGATGAGGAGATGGCTACTGAAGGTAATATTCCCTTTCTATTCATTACCTAGTAGGTAATACAGTTGTAGGGTCTGAACTGAAGCATATTGCTGTAAGAAGGAAGTTTCCAGAAATCATTTCCGATATGTCCTCTTCAGTAACATTAAATAAAATCATCAAAACTTGTTTCATATGCATATTTTCTGGCTTTTTGGATTAACCGTGAACAGCATCGCTGATTCTAATTCTGAGGAATTGTTGTTGACAATTTGATGATATAGAGGTTTAATAGTTGTTTAAAAAATGCAATATTTTTTATTTTTTGAAATCTAGAAATGTTGAAAACCCAAAACAAAACTGAACCTTTACTTTTAGTGCCAGTGAAAGTACCTTATGCTGTAAGTGGATTAAAATTAGGAAAGGGGGAGGAGGGGGTCCGGTTTATGAATTTTATAGCTGCAGTGGTGATAATTCTAATTCCTTCTATTTGTCACTTTAGCTGTTAACATTGCTCATAACTTGGATTCCTGTTCGATGCAAGTCAATCCACCACTCAACACTAAAACGGAAAGGATTACTCTACCAGACGAAGAATTGAAAAAATTACATCTGGATAAATACAATTCCACACAGGGTGTTGTCATTAGAGGCAAGTGTGCTTTTAGCCTGACTATTGTTCTCAACTTAATATGGTCTTGCCCTTCAAGTTGATGAATACAAATTTAGTTTTCAAACCTCTGTGACGATAGAAAAGATTCTCTGCAAACGGTGGTTGTCAAGGTGTTACCTTTTATGCACAGATGATTGATTACAACCTTGTATATGCTCGTTTGAATATTTTAATAATAACGTATTGCATTGTGGTTCATAATAAGAGATCACCATGGGAAAGAAGCCATTATGTAGAGCTTCAGTAATAAAGCAGTGGTTATAGCTTGAAAGATGTACAATATTTTTGGGGTACAGTTATTCATCTAACTAAAATTACATAGTTGACATTTAGTTTAGTATACAAGTAGTCATCAGTGTCTTGGGGTAGTGGAAGAACTGTTATGTAATCTTTTCTGTATTCTTTGTGTAGGAGTTGATTCCATTGCCAATTATGAAGATATTCTGCGTAAAGTTGTGTACATCAACACTGATCCATCTCAATACTATGAAAGATCATTTAAGTTGTCTTGTTCGGAACTCAATGGTCGATACACAAGCAATTTGGTGGAAGTACAGGTATGTATTTGTAGTATAGTGACAAAAAACCATGCATGGTGTTATGCAGTATGTTTGCATTGTGAACTCGTACATAAAACTAGTGTGTATACACGCATGCTTCTGAAAACAATGTGGCGATTATGATTGCTCTTAAAAAGATAATGAATAGGTCAAAAAGCAGGTCTGTAACATTCCTGGAGATTGGAGAGTGCCCAAATCAAATGTGTATTTGTAGTACTGTACAATCTGTATTAGTAGCCATGGCTTCTATTAAAGGTACAATGCAACAGAGGGGATGCAGCTTCTACACATAAAAAAATTGTGAATTTTTGGTTCTCTAAAGAATGGGTGTGACTTCTATTACAGTTGCATCTTCTAATGCACGTTTTACGGTACTGTATTTATCACACTTAATGGTGATTTTTTTTCCAAATTAGGTGAATATTTTGCACAGCAGTTTTCCAGGTCCTAAAGTGAACAATGATAAAGCAAGTGAGCATGTGGTGAGCTTTAAACATAACAACATTGGTAAACAAGAAATCAATAAAGAACCTGGCCTGCAAAATAAAGAGTCGGCCAGTAAAACAGGTTAGTGCGAGACTATGATGCTGTCAGTGTTTGATGTTTTAAGGGAAATTAATGTCCCCTGTATCAAAATTGTATTCTTGGATTATTCAAACACCTGTACCAAGAGTATATGAATTTGTGTGAATAAGGTAATAAAACATTCAAATTTCAATAATTTTTTATTTTCTTTCATTTGTAGGTACAGCAATGACATTTGTCATTGTGTCCTGTGTTGGCTTCCTCGTCTTCATGATTGTACTGGGCATCTTCCGTATCCGTGCGGCTCATCGTCGTGCTCAAGTTGGTGATGACAGACAAGAAATGGCATGGGATGATTCCTCACTCACTATAACGGTCAACCCAATGCAGGTATGTGAATTTTTGTTTAAATGATGGCTGCTTAATACAGCAAGTTCATGTTACCTACCACAAAGTACTTAGAGACAGCGACATTCTTTACCTATGAATCTATGTGCACAATTACATAATCCTAGGGCTTTAACTTTGAAGTTGAGAAAGAGAACTACTGTAGAATATTTTATTTTCGCTTGGAATTTATTTTCGCTGAAGGGATGATTCTGTGAAAATAAAATCCAGCGAATATACTTTTTTTCCAATATTTCACATAAAGTATTCCACAGTAATTCTCAAAAACCAAAATGTATATAATGACCTTCGTATTTAGTAATATAGAGAATATCAAAAGCAAACTTCTTAGGTAATAGCCTAAAGTTCTGCAATTCTCATAACTGGATTATATTACATCTTGCCAATTCAGCTGCTCAGTTTGTGAAGCCTGTGTGCAAATTGGTAAAAGTTAGTTGGCATTTCTCGCTCATAAAAACTACCCTTGTGTCATCATTTTAATTGTCATTTTAAGTACGGTATCATTGCATGATAAACCTTGTTATAAATTACGTCATCTTGTAAGTTGAGAGTATAAAATGATTAATATGTATGTATATATATATATATATATAATAGCTGTAATTGTTTTTGCTGATCTTCCACTTAATTATTTTTTTTACATTAACAGCAAACTTTAGAGTATGACGATCAAGAATTTCAAGCTGTAGGTGATAGTGACTCGAGTGACGATGACGACGATGATGATGACAGCAGTTGTCATGACGATTTGGACAGCTCAGAAGATGAAGGCGAACCAAGTAAAGAACACCAGCTTGAGTGGGACGATTCAACATTAACATATTGAGCTGGAATCAAGTGGACCCTCTACTAAAACGCTTTACTTTAGTATCCAGAAGAATTTCGAAGATTTTCGTTTGATAAGATACAGCACTATTGGATATGTGAAAGCATGTTTATTGCTTTGCTAGGGGGTCCAGTTTTTAGTTTGCAGTCTCCTACATATTATATTTATATATTCCGAGCAGTCACTGAATTTAAATAAAAAAAATAAAGTTACATATTTCTCAAATTTAAAAATACTCCAAAAGAAATAAACGTATTACATACACATTTACAGGCTAAAACAATGTGTAAAGCGTAAATTTTAAAATACCACAAAACTAATATTTATGGAGTTTGAGACGAGTACAGCAACTTCAGTAGATGCCCTACACTGATTAAAATAACAACAATGATTTGATTTGCCTCTTACCCCATCAATATGCAAGATTAGTTTTTGATATATAATTGGAAAAAAATGTAAATTAAAAACTTGATGTCGCGTTTTATGACGACACAGGTACAAGGTTTAGTTTCCAATGCAGACTAGTCTCTTTAGTATGGCTGCTTCCTGTGTAAATTGTGAAATAGGAATTGTTTAAGTAAACATGGAAATCATTGGATTAAACGTTTATAAAAGTGTCGGCGCACGTTTTCACTGTCGTGTATTTTCTGCAGCAGGGGAACAAAAATCTTTTGAATTAACTTTTGAAGTTTAAAAAAAAGTAGTGTAGAAACGTTGGTTTGACTTCCTCTTCTTGGGTCCATGCTCGTCTAATTAGCGATGTTTCCAACCGTCTAAGGATCTACATGTTTAATATAATACAGCGTAGTATAATTCATATTCCAAAATGATAAAATGACGCTTGCGAGTAGCGTTAACAAAAAACACTCGTAATAGATTTAGATATTCAGTATGGGCCCTGAACATGAACGATTGAACATTTGTAAAATATATAATTGACACTATTCATTCAAATTTTTGAAATAATAATTTTTTGGGACATAGTAAGTTGTGTATGTATAGATGAAGAAAGTTTTGTTTTCCTTAAGAGTTCACTTGCTGTCCAATTTTTATGAAGATTATGGGAATATGTATTTTTACCATTGTTACTATTTCAGACAAAGATTATTGTTTATAATTATAATAATCTGTCTATTTTATTATTGATTTCAAAAAGGAACCAGTTTAGTGAGTCGTGCCCCGCTTCTTAAATGCGACTATATGGAAACAAAGGATTGAGATGGTGGTTTTTGTTGATAAGGATATTTTGTTTTCTCGGAGTGGGCTTGACTGCTACTGAACTGGTTTAAAGTAGTTTAGAAACGTTATATTATTAATAAGTTTAAACACTTTTTTTGGGTTACCCCACTTGACTAAACAGTATATGTCTTGAGAAATGAATAATTTCAGAAATTCACATGCTATTCACAGTCCTTTAGTAATGGTTTCTTTTGAAATGTCAGCCTTGTATTTGTAGTTTTTCAAGCTAACCATGGAGCAGAAAACTTTACATACTTTCTAAATATCCCAATAATACTAGTTTGCCTTACTGACATTTCAGAATGACTTAAGTGTTCCAGTAATTTTTGCGGTGTTATGTCAATTATTAGTTGTGGGATTACTCCACCTGGTGTACTAGTCATTTCTTGATGTGCTAGGGGGTCTCATTTCATTTCTCAGTCTTGTCAGAGTGTAGCCACTTAGGCATACAGCTTTTCTTTTGTCTACCTGTCCTGTATGATTAAAACGATCACTTGTAATTAACCCTTATATGATGTGTGACAGT